TTACTCCACTTCTAAAGTGAAGCTTTCTAACAACCTAATTTAAGATGCTTTTGTTAGGAGAAGCTGTTTTGCACCAGGAGGTGCTGGTTTGTTATGATCCCAGTAAGAAAGGCACTCAGACTCTGTTAAGCATTATTTAAAATGCTATTCATTAGAGCTAATACTATAAAGGAGAAGACAGTATAGATAATCTTACATCTCTTCAGATGCTGGGAACTCCAAGTTGTGCAGCATCAAATGGGCCTCTGATCAGGGCGCAGTGCATTGTGCAGACCTCATCCATGCAAAAGTTCTCTGTTTTGCTCCTCTGAGCTCTTACTGGATTTTCTTACAAGAAAACATCTCTGTTCATCATTTCTACTGTCCAACAAAAGAATGTTCACATGAAAACTTGTTGCTGCAGCTTTAGATAAAGGCAAGGCCTGGTATCAAATGGGAGCTGCTTGCAGGCTCCTCTGTTGCAATGAGCTGGCTGAGGTTATCCTGCGTCCAAGGGATACATGCAGCACAACACAGGCCAGAAGTTCAAGCTGTACATGCAGCACAAAACACCACAGACCTGGGCCTACTCAGGTTAAGTTATGTGGATCACTAACTCCTTGAGGTCTTCCCACCAGGATCACTACAGAAACTAAAAAGCAAAAAAATCATCCTTGATGTTTATTAATACATTTAACATTGAATTACACTGGTATTAATAAAAACGACAGTATGAAAGGAGACAAGCTGTTTTGTAGAAAGTACTAGAAAACAATGTATCAAAATAGAGATTTTTTTTAATTTTGTATCTTAAACAGGCATGGGTTATCTTTGTATCTGCTCTGAAGTGCTTAACTCCATAGTGGGTAGTGCTAATAAAATTAACTAAAAATAGCTAGAAGATAATGACAATCTCCTAAGATCAGTAAGTCATTATCAGTGCACTCCAGAAGCATGGATTGCTTGTGACCTGCTGTGTTGCCCTTCCAGCAGGTATCAAAGGCTTGCTGTCCTGGTTTCAGCTGGGACAGAGTTAGTTTTCTTCTTAGTAGCTGGTATAGTGCTGTGTTTTGGATTTAGTGTGAGAATAATGCTGATAACACACTGATGTTTTAGTTGTTGCTAAGCAGTGCTTACACCAGTCAAGGACTTGTCAGCTTCCCATGTTCTGCCAGGTGCACAAGAAGCTGGGAGGGAACACAGCCAGGACAGCTGACCCAGACTGGCCAAAGGGCTATTCCATACCGTATGATGTCATGCCCAGTATATGAACTGGGGGGAGTTGGCTGGGGGGGAATGATCGCTGCTTGGGGATGTGCCGGGCATTGGTCAGCGGGTGGTGAGCAATTGCATTGTGCATCACTTGCTTTGTATATTCTTTTATCATTATTATTATTTTCTCTTCTTCTGCTGTCCTATTAAACTGTCTTTATCTCAACCCATGGGTTTTACTTTTTTTTTTTTTTGATTCTCTCCCCTATCCCACCAGGGGGGTGGGGAGGGTGAGTGAGCAGCTGTGTGGTGCTTAGTTGCCAACTGGGGTTAAACCACAACACTTGCAAACATGAGGCTTCTTCCCTTTGTCTGAAGGCCTCATCTACTACTACTTCCTGATGAGGCAGTCTGTAGCAGATACCCACCCCAATGTCACACACATTGGTCTGCCCACTAATCCTGATCCAAAAGCTCTTATCATCTATCCCTAGGCAGAGGTCCAGGCAACCCTGCTCCTCCCTCACAACTCTCCTTGCCTTCCCAGCCTGTCCTTCCTGAAGAGCCAGTATCCAGCCACTGCAGCACTCTAGTCTTGTGAGCTATCCCACCATCTCTCTGTGATCCCAATGAAATTATACATCTGCAAGTGCATACAGGCCTCTAATTCTTCCTGCTTGTTTCCTATGCTGTGTGCATTAGCATACAGAGGTTTCAGAGGCCCACACTCACATTGATTTTCCCAGAAAGGACGTGAGCTTCCCCCATCATGCTTTCCTCTCAGCATATCCTTATTTGTGCACATACACCTAAGGTCAGCCCCCTTCTGCCCTGTTTTGTTGGTGTCAAGATCTCCTTTGTCCACATCACCCTGCACCTTTTGCTTGCCAAGCCAGGCCACCGCCTCCTCACTTAACTGCAGGTTATTGGTGCTCTTTAAGTGTAGCTTGGATACCAGGGCATCCCCACTGAAGATCAAAATGGGGAAAACAGAGTGACTGAACAGGTAAATGGTGATGCCAACACAAGAGCAGATGAGCTAATGGTAGCCAGTCAGAGAATATTTATCTGTCCTTAAAACACTCATAGCAGCAATGCATTTTTTAATGCACTTTTGCAGACAGACCACTAACCTACTCTTCTTAGGTAGCACTGGAGATAATCCTGTTAAATATTTCTAATCTGTTAAGATGTAAGTCTTAGACTTTCATGTCCAAAGAAGGGCAACGAAGCTGGTGAAGGGTTTAGAGAACAAGTCTTATGAGCAGCTGAGGGGAACTGGGGTTGTTTAGTTTGGAGAAGAGGAGGCTGAGGGGAGACGTTATTGCTTTCTACAACTACCTGAAAGGAGGTTGTAGCGAGGTGGGGGTCAGTCTCTTTTTCCCAAGTAACAAGTGATAGGATGAGAGGAAACGGCTTCAGTTGTGCCAGGGGAGGTTTAGATTGGATATTAGGAAAAATTTCTTCACCAAAAGGGTTGTCGAGCATTGGAACAGGCCACAGAGGGAAGTGGTTGAGTCCCCATCCCTGGAGGTATTTAAAAGACGTGTAGACATAGTGCTTAGGGACGTGGTTTAGTGGTGGACTTGGCAGCGAGAGGTTAACGGTTGGACTCAATGACCTTAAGGGTCATTTCCAACCTAAATGATTCTACGATTCTATGCATGGTAGATGAAACAACTGAATCTTTATCAGCAGCATGAGTTCTTTTGGAGCCACCAGAATTCTTACTTCCTAAAACCTCTTGTAGAGAACAATACTAAGAATTGAAACAAGAGGCTTGTTGTCAAATGGATACTTCAGAACTGGACACACTCCTCAATGACTTACCATTATAAATGAACAAAATAAAGATCAAATCTGCATGCATGGAAAATGAATTATAAATGGCTTATTTTGCAGAGGATATGGTGCATATCTTACTATTTAGGAGAATCCCATAACAGTCAATCTCATAAGCCATGGAGAACACCTCTACCATCAAACTTCATTCCCCTCTGCATTTGGTTAAGTCTTAAACAGCTATAACATGATTAAAGTTAACACAACCTAAATATACTAATTAGCAAAGATTCTAACCAAAGCCACCAAGTATGTTCTGTCTTGCTTATCTCTGAAAGACCCAAAATGCCTTTGACAAAATCAGATTAACCATGTCAGCCACAATGCCATGCTAATATAGCTACACCGATGGTGAAGCAGACTTAGTGGGACTGCTCTATTGATATGTTATCATAGTGGATCCAAGATTCCAGCTCACTACCCAAACTTTAAGAACTAGGCAGTGGTTGTGGATGCTCCAACTTCTACATTTTCACCATTGGAAGATGAAGATGCATAGCACCATAGCACACATGCACAACCTTACTAGGCACCACTAGCTAAACACTGCTTCAGCAATTAAGCTCAAAAGCAGAGTTCAAAACCCTCCCAACCCTGGGAAGATGAAAATTAATGCTTCTTCCTTTCTTAGCTTATCTGAGTTGCAGCCTACATTAAATTAGCTTAAATGTACTTGGCTAAATGATACTAGAATGTGCAGCAGCTGTGCCTACAGTAAGATCATAACAGACAGGTACTCTGAAGAGGTTTTGGTTCAATTTTAATGCTTTCATGTAAACGGGGTTAATTGGAAAAAATGCTCAACACATTGCAAGATGAGAAAAATTGGAGCAACATATTAGCTCCAACCACATGATGCCAAGGTAGACATTTATCTTCCCTAATTATGTTGTGTAGTTTAATATTTTTATGGTTAAATAAGAAAGGTATGCTGTAGAAAAACACCAGCAGAAAACAAGAGCCCACATATCTTTTTGAATTTGTCAGACAGAAGTTACCTGTGTACAATCAGTGTGCATTGTAATAATTCTATTAATAGAAAGTCATTCAAATCTAAAATATTAACTGGCTGCATAGCACATTTGACATTATTGCCGATTTTAAGAGGGAAAACAAATATATTTCCAATAAATTTTGGCTGATTTGGATTCAGAAGTGTTCAGATATTGAACACTTCTTCTTTAAAACCAATGGACTGGAAAAAAACGTCCAGATCACAGTTTAGCTGAATATTTCCCACCATTTCAGTACAACAAATCATAATATTGACAGTTTAATAGAAAAACAAAACCAAAACATGTATCTGAAGCATCCAATAAAAAGGGGGCACTAAATGGAATAGAAATGTTCCCTTTCCCCATTTTTGCATTCTGAACAGTGATTTCATAAAGATATTTTATTAAAAAGTGTTAGTATACTGACTTTGTTTCATACTTGTGACAAGAAGGCCTGAGTTGGTGGGGAAAGGAACAAGCAGCGGCAAGGTGGTCGCAGTGTACAATGTAAACAAGTAGCTTTGGAAAGTGAACAAAGTCCTTGAGAGTTCTTTACTAAGAAACAAAAGAAAATAAACTCCTCATTACTTCCTGAAATATGAGCACAGGTCAGTGTTTAAAAGTTCATTTACAAACATAATTTAAAATGTGTTCAGCCTGAAATCACTTTGACATGAAGAGTTTTATAGTAAGATCCAGTCTGAAAGGGGCAGTGTTGAGGTCCCTGTAAAAGTAAACATCTTCCATTTCTTAAAAAAAGAGTGCCGCAACATTTGCAGCACAGTGCAGCATAAACTTTAAATACAAAAATATTTTCCTATTGTTGGGATAATAGACCTTGCATCCTGGAAAGAAGTAACAATACTGCTACTGACAGAATATCCAGTCCATATCTTTCAAGTCACATAAGGCAATTACTGTGTTAGCTTACTGTATATGGCTAAAAGAAGGTCCAGAAAATGTCAGTCTTTGTTATGTTTTCCGGCTACTCCATGTATGTTCAGGTGTACTTTTGTGATCTGATGAGTGTTCAAATGGAGATCTGTGTCCTAAAGGAGATCTTGAACCATAAGGAGACCTCTGATCTAATGGTGACCTTGGGCCACTACCAGAAGCTCTGTGGTCCATTTGCCAGTCTGAGTTGTACCTATAATCTCTGGAAGATTTATGACGGCTGTACTCTGAAGTGGAACGGTGGTCTGTGATCCTGTGGTCTGAATGGGAACGGTGATCTGAATGAGGCCGACTGTCTTTTAAACTTCCTTCCAGGTTTGACCTGTGATCTCTGCTCCTGTGGTCATCCAGTTTTCTATGTTTACTATCACTATAGTATCTGAAAAGATTTACTTATATTAGTACTACCAAACACATAGTAAGAACTACAATTACATCAATTCAACAGAACTGCATTAGAGAAATTTCTTTGCAATTCTGCATTACTCAGAAAAGATACTTTGGTGCTTACTACAAGCATACTGCAAAACCAGGAAGGGAATTCTTAACAGATTTTACAGTTGCTGAAGCAATTTACCTGCTGTCTTGTTTATAGTGATCCCAGTCTCTGTGGTCTTTTCCATTGCTGAAGGCTGAATAGGACCTTTTCCTAGAGTCACTTTTCTTATATGCATCCCCCTGATGCCTGTCCTTATGATGATCATGGTATTGTGACAAATGTCTATCAGAAGAATAACTGTCCCTGCTACTGTCATCATGGTTTGTATTCTCTTTCAGTCTTTCAACATCTGTTTAATAAAGCAGAGGTTATAAGGAAGTCTCATACACTATAAATTTTTTTCTTCACCAATTCAAACAGCACTTCTACCTGTCAGATTTAAAGCAATTTAAAAGAGCATTATAATTTGTCAGAAACAAGATCTAAATAATTGAAAGACAAATGCACTAATGTAAGTGAACTGAGAGAAACCTTAGAAGTAAATAGAAGGCAAGCAAGCTAGAAACGTAGATACGTAGGGCCGAGAAACTAAACTTTTCCACCTTACAGACTGAACAGAGAGGATCAGTGTGGTCCAAATGAGCAGTGAGTAGAGACCAGGTGCCTTTAGTAGAGCAATTTTAGATAGAACGGTAGGAAGTTCCTCTCTAAGGAGAGATAGCCCTAGCATGAACATCAGTTTTAGAGGTATACCTTGTTAATGAAAGGTTTTTAGTGGTATTCCTAAAATACATTATACTCATTTTAAACCCATGACAACATACTCCAGGTTTTACATAACATGATATAAAAACAAGTATTACAAGAAGGCAAGTGTGGGAGCATAGAAAAACAGTATTATCGTCAACAATAAAAGACATCCCATATAACTGATTGCTAACCACGACTTCAGGGAATATCTTTCTTACGATATGGTGACATTACAACTGCTACAAACAGGTATAGAGCCTCCAAGAAGTTTACAAGTGTTGAGTTGGCCTCTCTCCCTCCTCAAAATTAAATAAAAAAAAAAAAGTTGTTAGTTTTTTTTTTAATTTATTTATTTTAAAAGAATGGCCAAATAACTTGCTACTAAAATCAATAAGTACCAAATTCAGTCTGTGCTCAGTTGAATTTCATTAGCAAACTAGTGAAGTTACATTAAGTCAGCCTATACCTATGCTATCCAGCAGTATGGGAGTTCTAGGAGACAGTTTTAAGCTTATTTCATTTTACATACTGTCATTTAAGATATCCAGCACAATAATATGCTCAAGATTTCTTACCTGGATTTCTAATTACATGTGCATTCACATTGCTGCTAATATTCTGGTCGCTGTGTTGCTAAAAGAGACAAGTACAAAAATTGTCATTGATAAATCCCAAAGTTGCATCTGAATCCTTCAGAAAATATCCTAAGAAAACAGACTAGTTTACTATGAACAGTAAAATACTCTTCAAATGTATTGAGTGTACTCAATTGATACTTAATAAAACAGATTTAAAACTTAGAATATATATTTGTATATTTAGAGAGTCTGAAAGTATTACCTGAGATTCTTGGCGTTTTTTGATTGCATGTTTATATAGCTTGTGCAGCTTTCTGGCATCAAATTCTGTAAACTTAGAGACAAAAATCCACAAGTTTCTGAGGAAAAAGAAAGAGAGGTTATAATTCTTCCATATATTAGTTTTTATTGTATCATACAACAGAACATGGACTGAAATTGAAATAATTTCAACATACTTCAGTAAACTGAAATCATTGTAAAGTCTGTTACACAGAACATTACCTAGCTGCACAGCAAACATTACTTAGCTGTATTTCAAACATTTGAGAAATGAATTCCTTTAATAATTTGTCATTTTGTAATATTTATCACAATGACTGCAGAATGCAAAGCGCATGAAAAGTAGTATTAATGCCAATTCTGTTAATAGAATGATTTGTGCAATTGCATAAAAATGTAGTTTTTCAATTTGTTGTGCAAGTCTTCTGAAAGATTGTTTGAAATATGTCAGAAAACTTGAGTATTTACTACTCAGTAAAGATTCTTCCAAACTTGAAATCTCTTGCAGCTCAAGAAATTTGACCTACATGCCTCATTTCCTATAGATATCAGGGACCGGATTTTTCCACAGAATTCCAAAGCCTGGTCAAAGCTTTTGAAACCAAATGAGAAATCTGAAAGAGGATGGAAGTAGCATGGCAAAAACTTTGATCCTAATCTATGCTATGAAAGAAGAAAGGAAAACAAATCAACTCTTTTGGTGTCAAGAAGCCAAAACCCTAAAGACGACATTTGCTTCTATGATTGCAAAACACGAGATCTAAAGTCTAGAATTCTTTTAGCAAAAGTTTACAGGTGGAGTGCTTAAAAGACTACGGAATACTACTGTTCTAATTAGCGTTTAGTTCAGAAACAATCCAAGTGTGTAGGCTCAAGAAGCATCTATCTGCTCTTTCACTGTGATGATTTAAACATTATAGCATTGGCCTAGAGGTTTGCAAAAGTAGACGCAACCAACCCAGTGATATCTGTATAAGAAATATAGAATTAATACCTTTACTAAATTCTATGTCTTATTAAAGACAGATGAAATACATATTTTAATAACCTATGTATGGTACTGTAGCATTATTATGAATTAATATTATAGTAGCTCTACTATGAATTCCTGCTTAAAGAAATATAACATTTACCAAGGTGTCTTTAAGACATGGATATTGTTTGTATTTCAGTTCACTCTAATATTTTTAAGTAAAGCAAGTACAAACAGCAGAAATATTCTATGTTAACAACAGCCTGCAAGGAAATTAAACACTTGACTGAGTGTCATATATGGAAGTGCAGGATAGATTTTGCAACCATAAAGGATTAAAGTGCACATTATCATAAAGCTAACTCAAATTGTATTAAGAACTTAACAACAAAATATAACAAGTTTATAAACCAACATTTTTATTTTTTCCAAAATTATCGCTTCACAAATGCATAAGAACACTTAAAACTTCTTTCATTTTGAAATACATCTCTGAGTATGTTGTGATAAATGTTTTTTATAAAGTCATAGTTAATATCTGATTTCATTTTAGAGTATATTTTTAGAAGAAGAAATGATTCTGCAACTCAGAATCATTCAAACTTCAACACACAAATTTATAATGGCCTATTTTTAGCATGAAAAAAAAAACCCCAAACAAACTTCAAAGTTGAAAAAGCCAGATTCTTTAATTATAAGAACTCTTTTCCACTAAACATTAAATATAAAATAACTGTATTTAGAGTCTGTTTGCTTTTGGTTTTAAGAAGGAAGATGACTCCACCTACTGGACAAAATGCATTGCTATGCAAGTATGAAAAAGTGAATCCATTAAAAGCTGGAGCCATTTATAATCATAAGTCCTTATTTAATACAGCAGAAAAACACAAGAAAGGGAGAATAAGAAACAAGAGAAATAATTAAAAACTATCCTGCTTAATAGAAGCTATTATGGATTTTCCTTTTTCAAGAAAAATCATGCAGAATAACTTACTTTCTCCACTGTTTAATTTGTTCAGGATTTGCGTACTCCTTTAGACATTCAGTAATGTGGTCCCCAATTTTGATTAAGCACTGTCTAGTATGCTCCAGCTGTTCCCTTTCAGAAAGGCCTTTCTCTGGTCTATCCAGTTGTTTCAATGCTGCTTTGACAGGCCTCATTCTTTCTTTGCACTATAAAATGTAAGAAAGGAATACATTAATTCAAAGGAAAATAAAAAGATAAAAAAAATTGTAAAGCACGACCCACCCTTACTGTGCTATTTATACAGACAAAGACAGTACTGTTGTAAGCAAAATGAAAAACAAGTCTTCACTCACAGCTCTTTTAGTTTTACTACAAGGTTTCATTTAGAAAAAGTAGTATTTTAAATCCGGTTGAAAATTTACTCCTATATGAAAGCATTAGATTGCATGTAACAAATATTAAAGATTTAAGAAAGCACTAATTTAATTAATATAAAAGATTTTCTGAGGGAAAGGAATTATTATAACAGAGTTTTACAATCATGGGTTTAACTTTCAGCACAAGTATACAGGACAAGACTTATTTTACTTTTTAGGACCTTGAAAGCTATACAAACTCAGTGTCAAGATTAAGTATGAGAATGTTTAATATTAAAATATATATAAAACTTAAAATAGTAGATACTTTCTGCAACAATGAAACTTGGCATTCAACAGAGGATCAGCATTCCTTCTCTGAGCAGTTCTTAAGCCTGAGTTCTATGCAGATACTGACAGAAACTGAGCTATCTATGATAAAGCTAGTTTAGGTGTGCCTAAATTAGTAACAGTGATGACAACACAGATGTACCCACAGATATATTTCATACATGCATACTTGAATTTTCACATTAATTCAAACGCGTTAATAGTAAATGCAGATAAAGCAGTTAGCATGTTTTAAATTATAGACACTTGCTTGGAAATACCATTCAATCACAATGGCAAGGTAGACAGACGAAATGCATGTTTTTTCTTGTCTACCTTGTGACAGGTAGTCAAATGAATTAGCCTCAACAACCCACAGCAGTAATTTCCATTTGAAAAGGTAAACATGCTAATTAGATTGCATCTGACCATGGCATAATGGTGAATATCCCTTCAAGAACAGAGGGCCTGGCCAAAAAAAAAGTTCTATACGCAAAGCCAACCTAGAATAGCTCCCACTAAGGAAGAGAGGCAAGTCTGTATATCCAGAATCAAAAATATGAGTGATGGTGATGTTCTCCAAAACCCCTGTGTCAACATCTAGGGACAACTCAAAAAAAAAAAAAAAATCAGTGAAGCTGTTCCATTACCAGTTCATGCCATTAAGTTATTAAGCAGCTACATTACATATTGCATTAACCACAGCTTAAAGCAACCTTTAAAAATACAGTTTACACTGCTTAAGTTAAGTGTAGAGGTGAACAGAGAAGCATAATTGTACATAGGAATCAAGTGATTTTCAGTCACCTACCCACACACAAGATATCCTGGAAATTATGGATGAGTCACTTATAACATTTAGATAAAAAACAAAACAAAAAACCCCACATACATAAATTGGTCAGTACCATACTGATGAGAAAACAAGATAATTTGCCTCTCACAGCCAGCACCACAGTAAACCCAGTAAACTTTACTATACTGCATAAATGCAATAAAACTGCTGGCCTGAAAACAAAACTGACTTTAGTATAGTGTCGATAACCCTTCACTGATCTAAGATTTTACTGGCAATAGATATCTGTGTTATAATGCCTAATAGCAGAATCAAGAACATCAGAAATTGTGTTAATTTAGAATATCAAGTGTAAACACGAAGTTATCAACAATGGACATACCACACTGAATGTCTTCTGATCCAGTTCTTCAGATTCTTCAGATATAGGAACTGGTTCACTAGTTGCAGTAATATGAACTGGAATATCCAACAATGAAACTTTTTTATTTTTTTCTTTATTTTCAGATTTGATTTCATTTACCTAAGAACAAAACATGAAAATATATCTGATAAGAAAACCTTATTTTTGGGCTGGTGTTAAACAGTAATTAGGCAATCACTGTAATTACTGCATCCTCTTCAATAATAACAAGAAAAAAAAAAATTCTGACATTCAATGACAGTACCTTTTATTTTCTCTCTCTGAGGGATGGAGAAGGAGAATGGACAGGTTTCTTGCACCACTTGTACTCTCAGTCCCACTAAGCTATGCATCTTTAAAGAGGTAATTTCCCATTTCATTTACCTGTACTTGTAGTTACAAGTGGTAAAAATAAAACTTCAAATGATGCAAAAAAATGAAAACTGAAGTGATCGATCCAAAATACCTTTTTAACTCAAAATCATTCACAAAAACCTGGTGGCCTTTTCTAGTGCTGTATAAGAAAAATAAACCTAGTTACCTTTTCTTCCTTTATTTCTTTTTCTTTCTGTGTGGATTCTTTTACTTTGTTTTCTCTCTTTTCTTTAATATTTTTTAATTCTTTCTTATCCTCTTTTTCTTTTTTCTCCCTTTTCAAATCCCTCTTATTTTCTTTTGTCTCTCTCTTTTCTTCAGCTTCCTTCTTTATACCAATATCTGGCTCAGGCTTTTCTTCATTTTCTTTTTCTGCTTTTATTTTTTTATGTGGATGTTTCACTGAAATAATCTCATCCTGCAATACACAAGCATATGTCACATCCAATTGAGTTCCTAATTATACAAGTTTTGTAACCATCAGATTAAAATGTACTTTTTAGCTGTGTGTGATTTCTTTAGACTCAGGTTTAACACCTATCAAATGGAGCTGGATGCAGTTGCGAAACAAAATGAGGACTATTCACTCATTTACTTGATGTGACACAAAACAAGTACTGATTGGGCAGGGGTAATGGGAGGGGGTGTGAGAGATTAAGTCCATTTAACTTTCATATCCCCAAAGAAATCTGCCCCTGTAAAAGGCAGTTAAGCTGCAGAGAGCTAAAAACAATAAGTAAATAGGCATCACAAGACTGAGCTGATTTTTCAGGGCATGGTGATGATAAAAGACCTCTGTTCTGGTTAGCTTTGTTCCAGTAACTTTTTACTGACCACAAATTAAACATTCACAGTCACAGGAGAAGGGAACAGAGTTCCAACTTTCTCTTTTCCAGAGGTGTTCTGAAGAATTTGGTGTTCTTTCAGCTACCTTCAAAGTCACAAAATTAGGTGCAACATGGCCCCTAAACTTCATCTGTTGTGGTGTGGTTTTTTTTTTTTTTTTCTTTCCTCTCTCCAGTGGTTTCTGCTGTGTGATAAATTTAAATAAACGACCCAACAAAAACAGAGGCCTAAAGGAATACATCAAAAGTAATAAAAACATAACAAAGTTGAGTAGTCTATTAGAATAATGAAAGCCCTGACATACACATTCACTTGCATGTCTCAAAATATCATTTACTCATTCTTTCTAATCAAGCTTGATTTTTTTTCCTGAGCCTGAACAAAAGTTGCTACCTGAAGAATCATTATCAGTAATAACAGATTAGTCAGAAACATTAGTTTTATATTCAGATGTTACATTAAAATTGCATTTCTAGCAGATACAATGCTCAAGTCTTTAAAGAACATTGAAATTGCACAATGTCACTTGTAATTGGGCGACAACATTATTTTATGATATTATAATTTGGAAAACTAATCATAATGTCTGAGCTACAGGCTTATCGTTAAATTAAAATAGATATAGCCTTCCATGTGATTATATTGATGCAATATTAACTGCCACAGAAGGAGGATGCCATTCAAGTGCTTCAATTTTATTAAGTCAAACAGAAGATCAAATAAAAAGTGTTACTAATAAAAACAATTGAATCTTTACCACATGAATGATGTTTACCTCATTATTCTCATCATCTTCATCAGATTTTTCTGAGGGTGGTGATGAGGAGTCACTTTTTATTTCTTCTTTAATTTTTGCAGCCTTTGTTGCTCTATTCTTCTTAGTTCTTGTTTTCTTCCTCTTTGAATTGCCCTGAATGCAAATTAGTACCTTTATTATGTCAACTAACAAGTGTCTTTGCACCACAGTTGCAGAAAAAGATTTGTTTTTTATGTTAAAGAAAGCATTCATTTTATTTATTGCCACTAATGACCACCAATTTTCTCAGGACTGGAGACCGAGCCTAATGCAACAGTAGAGAATATATACAAATAAGAGAGAATAAAACAATATTAAACTTGCAATTCATTCCTTGAGTTAGTCTCATATAATATGAATAGCAATACAGAGAAAAAAATTGCACAAAGCAAAGAAGAACGGAACTAGAAATAAAACAAGTATCTGCTGACATGCCCATAAGCATATTATGTTATCTCACTACTGAATATCAAGCTTTACTTACTGCACCAGTAAGTCTTTGTGCTTCTTTTCTTGCAAGGTCTTTATTCAGTAATTTAATGAGGTAATCTGCACGGGTCTGTAACTGCTTGGCCTGGGGTTTCTTATCTGGATCATCAGGTAAAATCTGAGGAGAGCAATGATAGTATCAACTATGAGTACACATTATCAAATTAGGAAGCTGCTAGTCTGGAGAACAGAACACTGGGAACAGAAAAAGCTGAATTAAAAAAAAAAAAAAAAAAGGTGAAAAAACCCAATATGCCAGCACACTTCAAGGAATGAAGAATTTCTTAAGCATTTTATTTTTCCCCAAACACACAACTAATGTAGTCTTGGAAATAGTCTCACAAAGTTTACAGTAAACTCAAGAAACTAGCCTCAGATTTCTGTTTCCACTCTCATAGTTTATCTAAAACATTCAGAGCTCCTGTACCACTGTCATCCACAGATCTCATAGTTCTGCCTTGTGCTTCTAAATGCATTAACTTATTATCACAGGATATTTCAGAAGCCAAAAATATGAGTGGTTTCATAAAACAAGCAAATTAATGGAAGGCAGGGGCAGGATATCATTAAACAGATTTGTATACAACCCTAGCTCCTCAAATCCCAAAGCTACAGGTTGTTGGTAATGGCATTGAGTTTGCTTCACTCCAGTCCTAAACTCCTAAACGTTTCTCACTACTTCTAATCAGCCATTGCACTACTACTAATCTGATGAGTATAGCTATTCTCATGTTGCGAACGAAAGACAGTTTCAAGCAAAGAAACCAAGGATAGGAAAACCAAACCAAAACCCCAAAACAACCTTCCCTCCAAAAGATCAAGAATAAAATTAACACAACTAGAACATTTAAACTAGGGAAGCAAAAGATGGAAGAGAAAGAATTCAAGTGACAGAGATCCAAATACATAGAAATACAGAAACATAACAGACTCTAAGAAGGTATACTTCAAATGAATACACAACATCTTGAAATCTAATAATTTACCAGAAGGATACAAAGGAGTACAACTGACCTAACTTCTGTGCAATTTCAGTTATCATAAAATAAGCTCTTTCAGTAACTGTTCTTATTAGCATTATTACCTAAACAAAAAAAGTCCTTGATGAAATTTTGTAGATGACATACCTTCTGTGTCAAATTGAGATCAGGATCCATTTTTATCATTTCCCAGCTGCCATAGCCATATTCATAGATACCTATTAACAGATTGGAATCATCTTCCTTACCCCAATCTATATCAAAATGAGCTGCCTTGGTGTGGCATGGGATGACATATCTAGTAGAAATAAATTAGGAACATAAATAAGAGATCTTCTCAAACTTAGCAAGGGAGAGGGGAACATGACACACATCACTAAGATCCTGGTATATTTAGGTAAGTAATCCAGATATCTATCAGGTTTTCTTACCATTTCTATAAAATATTTATTGAAATCAGTACTGAAACATGTTTTAAAGCAGATCAAGATTAAGATATAAAGAACAACAGACATCTATCTGTGGCCATAGATTGAGTCAGAACTGGCTAACCATGAAGATAAGCTTAAAATATTACTCAAGTGTAACTACTAACTGAATATGCAGATAGTCTAGGGACTATGATACACAAGGTAGCAAGCTAAAAAGTTCAGAGGGCTAAACAACTACCAACAATTACCATCTGCTCCACTTCGACAAATATTGCTTTGTCTCAGGCAGAGGTGACACAAAGCAGCTCCTCAACAAGCCTAATTTCTAGTCTGGAATAATTAAGAGTAACTGAACCCAGTCCCCAATGAATACAGTTCAGAAGCCAAAGCAAATACTGGCTTCTAAGGAGCGGGAAGAAAGAATAAAGAAAGGATGCGGAGCAGATTGCTGCTGCCAGTTTTTGGGGGGAATGGAGCGACACTGGTGTCCCAATGTGCTTAGAGTCTGGATTGCTTAAATATATGCATAAAAGCCTTGAATAACTTTCTGCATTATGGCTTCCTTTAGGAAAAGAAAAAAATACCTTTTCCTTTCTTCTGGATCTGAAGGAATGGATTTGTGCAATGGTGCCAACTCTTCTTCATGAGAGATTACTAGCTTTGCATTCACCTGCACTCCTGATATTCGGAATGTCGGGCCTTTAACTTTCCCAAGTTTACCTCCTTAAAATAAAGGACCAAATTGTTAAAATATTTAGCCTTTATGTGTATCTTATAGACGAACAAAGAAAAAAAGTTTGATGCTATAGCAGCAGACATTCAATTACAGCAAATGATTTTTTCTTAACCAAACACTTTAATTAAACTCCAGAGTCTCAAGGTCTTCCAGATAATAATAGCAGATTAATTTTAAATTTCATGGTAAAGCAAAAACATGCTGCATTCTACTGTGACAACTCACTCAGGGAAAGGGGGGGGGAAGTCTTCTTACTATAATCCTTTTTTCTAAATCACCTAGCATGCTAACATTTTGTTAATGTTTTCCTCTAATACAATTGTTTTGTTATAATCAGAGTGCAAGAATTATTCAGACCTCTTGACACTTTTTATTCCTCTCCCCCACCCCCAAAACACACTTTACCTGCTCTTTCTTGTCCAAAGGAATTGTCCTTTAAAGCCTTAATGCATCCATTATGTACAAGTTCTCCCAGACGTCTAAGGTCTGTCTCAGATTTATCAACTAGCTCAGCATCTCTAGCTACAGCATCTAACCTGTAAGAAAACAAATATGTTTTTACAGCTCTAAAACTTTAGTATTATGAATGACTCCTTCAGATTTTGAAACTAGAGAAGCGATCATGTAAGTTATCGTTCACCCACATTTGCTATGCTGTGTACAATTTTGATCCACGCAGTTAGAAGCAGCTATAGAAAAGAATACAGAAACTATAAAAAAGGGTGTTTCACATAGAGGACAATACAACAGGAACTATAAAGGACCCTAACTATACAGTTTTGAGTTACATTACTACACATTCTTTTAAATAGAAAAGGAACTATTATATATAATAATATCATATAAACTATAAATACTATTAAAGAAAATGAAGGTGGGAAATGTTTCTCAAAATACAGAGTAATACAGAAAGCTTAAAATAAGAACTGACAACGAGAAAAATGCAAAACTGGCAGTTAGTCTGTTGAAAGCCTATGGCTTTATCCACTCTATCAAACAAGAAAACTGAACGATTGTCATTAATGCAGATTAAACAAGACAGTAGGTAAAGTATAAAGAAAAACAAGTAGTCTTGCAAAATTGAAAGATTTGTCATACTGGCTGTCTACATACATATCATATATGAAGAAAGGAAAAAAATTAATTTAAATTCATGTTATAGTCAAGGCAAAAGATTAGGCACACTATTTTCTCTTCAACCTAAGGTTTCTTGGTATATTGTTCTAATTTTAACGAAAACAAGGTTCCAAGTTGTTATACAAATATAATCAGATAAGTTTACCTTTCAAGTGGGCCACCAAATTTCTTGTAACTCTTGATAAACCTAGTAACAGAAAATAATTATGCAGTTAAAAACATACGCTTAACTACACTGGTTTTAAAAATATATTTGTAAAGTCTTAGTACAAGGCTATGTGGACAATGCAAAGAAAATAAGAACTAGAGAGACTAGGACAGCTTAATACATCAAGATAACCTCCATTTAAAGCCAGAGTTCTATTTGGTTTAATAACTGATGTAAATAAAACAATAGAAGGTACAATTTATTTCAAAAATTACTTTACTAATTAGTTTCACAAGACAAAGGATTCAGCAATGTGATGTGTCTAATCATAAAAATCAAATGTGGATTTATAGTAAATAGAGAATTCAAACATTATGTTAGGCCTCTCATAATAAAGAGGAGCTAGCTGCAATTGTAAGGTGATTTTCAGACTTAGGAAAACATAGCATGAAAGATAAAGGAATGCAAGCACAAGAACACTCCTGACAAAGGCAGCAAACCATTATATGTTAGATGAAATGAAAAGGAAACAAGGCTCTTTAGGGTTATTTATATAATCAAAAATATTTTATAAGCTTTACAGTATTTTAGAGAAACACGAATACTTAAATTACAGAAGCAAAGTAGCATTTCACAAACCAATCAAAGTAAAGTAAAACAATTTCTCCTCCTTCTACCAAAGAAGTATTTTTAGCACCAAATATTGATGATTGATGGGACCAGCTGTACAGATTCACTTATGTACTGGTTTGCACTTAGATAAAGTTAATTTTCTTCAAAGAAAGTGTAGTGTAGAAAAAAGTGGAGAAAGTGTAATTTTCTTCAAAGTGTTGAAGAAGTCATTTTTTAGCTCAAATAAGAATCCAAAGACCTG